CGTCGAACTCATTATCGGCGATAGCCGAGTAACTAGGGTGCTCATCGATACTGGAAGCTCAGTCGACCTCATCTTCAAGGACGTTTTGGCTATAATGAATGTCAGCGATCGGCTAATAAAACCCGTATCGCGCCCGTTGGCCGGATTCGATGGTGACTTCGTAATGACAATCGGAACGATCAAGTTGCCCATATTCGTCGGAGGAACGATCTCGTGGGTCAAGTTCGTCATAGTTGACAAGCCCGCAGTTTACAACGTTATTTTGGGGACGCCCTGGATGCATCAAATGCAGGCGATCCCGTCCACATACCACCAGTGCATCAAGTTCCCAACGCATAACGGAGTATTCACCTTGAGAGGAAATCAACAGATCGCAAGAACATGTTTTCTCATCGAACACAAGAACCGCGTCACTAAGAAGTTATAGCAATTAACGACGCCAGCGTCATCGACCGTCCCGACCCTGAAAAAATCCCTCGAAGAGCCTCAGCTGAGCAGAACAGAACAAGTGAATATTGACGAGACGGATAAGACAAGATGCGTCGCAATCGGGGCCGAGATAGTACCATCGGTTAAAGAACCACTCATCGCGTTCCTAAAAAAGAATTCTAAAACGTTCGCCTGGAGCGTAGACGACATGATAGGCATCGACCCTATGATCGTTACGCACGAGCTTAACGTCGACTCAACCTATAAACCGGTAAAGCAGAAAAGGCGAAAATTGGGAACTGAGCGAGCCAAGGCCGTAAATGACGAAGTCGAAAAACTCTTGAAGGCCGGCTCGATAACCGAGGTAAAATATCCGGAATGGCTAGCGAACCCGGTCGTTGTGAAGAAGAAGAACGGCAAATGGCGTGTTTGTGTAGACTTTACCGACCTCAATAAGGCGTGCCCAAAAGATAGCTACCCGCTCCCCCACATCGACAGGATAGTTGAAGCGACCGCCGGGAACGAACTTCTGTCCTTCATGGATGCATTCTCGGGATACAATCAAATCCTCATGCACAGAGATGATAGGGAAAAGACCTCGTTCATCACAGACCGAGGAACCTATTGCTACAAGGTGATGCCATTCGGCCTCAAGAACGCCGGTGCGACGTACCAACGTTTGGTAAATAAGATGTTCGCTGATCATCTCGGACGAACCATCGCAGTTTACATAGACGACATGCTGGTAAAATCTCTAGTAGCAGCCGACCATGTCCGACACCTAAGCCAATGCTTCGACGTATTGAACGAGTACAATATGAAATTAAACCCCGCAAAATGCACGTTCGGCGTAACATCCGGCGAGTTCCTGGGGTACATGGTCACACAGAGGGGGATCGAGGCTAACCCAAAGCAAATTCGCGCAATCCTCGATCTGCCTTCTCCAAAGAATGCGCGCGAGGTGCAGCGACTAACAGGACGGATCGCCGCACTCAACCGCTTCATCGCCAGATCGACGGACAAGTGCTTACCCTTCTATAACCTCTTAAAAAGGAAGGACAAGTTTGCATGGGATGAAGCGAGCGAAAATGCTTGCAACGAACTCAAACAGTACCTCACGACGCCCCCGGTTCTCGCTAAGCCAGAAAACGGTGAAACGTTATTTCTGTACATCGCGGTATCAAGCTCGGCCGTGAGCGGTGTGCTTGTTAAAAATGACCGAGGCGACCAGAAGCCGATCTTTTACGTCAGCAAGTCCCTTATCGAAGCCGAGACACGCTATCCCACAATGGAAAAAGCTGCGCTAGCGGTCGTAACATCTGCCAGGAAATTACGTCCCTATTTTCAGTCCCACACAATCGCCGTTCTCACCGACCAACCACTACGAACCGCCCTACACAGTCCGAGCCAGTCCGGGAGAATGGCTAAATGGGCAATCGAGCTCAGCGAATACGATATGGACTTCAGGACCCGACCAGCAATGAAATCGCAAGTGTTAGCCGACTTCCTTATTGAACTACCGCTCATTCCAAAAAACCTAAGCGGCGACCCCGAGCATGGCGACCCACAGAACGGCGTCTGGACGCTGTACGCCGACGGATCCTCGTCATCGCATGGCTCTGGCGTCGGCATACGACTGGTCTCACCAACCGGGGAAATAATCGAGCAATCGTTTCGTCTGCGCTTTACGGCAACAAATAATGTCTCCGAATACGAAGCACTCATTGCCGGTCTACGCCTCGCCCTAGGAATGAAGATCAAACGAGTCCAAGCATACGTGGACTCATAGCTCGTCGCAAATCAATTTAGCGGCGAATACGAAGCCAAAAACGACACTATGGAGGCATACCTCAAGGTCGTCAAGAAGTTATCCTCACAGTTTACACATTTCGAACTAACCAAAATCCCGCGAGGAGATAACGCGCCGGCTGACGCTCTCGCTGCATTAGCATCCACGTCGGACCCCGACCTTCGACGTATTATCCCGGTGGAAAGCGTAGACCGACCAATCATCGAAGCAATCGATACTGTCAATTTCGTCGGAACCAATCACGATCCGGACGCAGCCGACCCAACAGACTGGCGGGTCGAAATACGCGATTTCCTCACCGATGGAACGGTCCCAACGGATAAATTGGCAGCACGTCGATTACGCATCAAAGCCGCGAAATATACGACCTTGGAAAATCGCCTCCTAAAGCTCAGCGCAACCGGAGCATGGCTGAACTGCCTACACAGCGAGGATATCACAGAAATAATGAAGGAAACAAACATGGGGGCCGGCGGCAACCATTCCGGCGGACGAGCTCTCGCATTACAAATCAAAAAGCAAGGTTTCTATTGGCCGACTATGATATCGGACTGTAAGGACTTCGCGGCCAAGTGCGACCAATGTCAAAGACACGCGCCCTCGATCCATCGACCAACCGAGCTACTCAAGGTCGGTGCGGCACCATATCCATTCATGAGGTGGGCTATGGACATCGTCGGCCCGCTACCAGCCTCCAGGCAAAAACGGTTCATCCTAATCATGACGGATTACTTTACTAAATGGGTGGAAGCCGAATCGTACGCGGCAATACGAGCCAAAGATGTCCAGAACTTCGTTTGGAAATATATAATATGCCGACACGGCCTTCCATACGAAATCATCACCGATAATGGCTCGCAATTTATCTCGCTGACATTCGAGAATTTCTGTGCGAACTGGAAAATTCGTCTAAACAAGTCCACACCGAGATACCCGCAAGGCAACGGGCAGGCCGAAGCGACCAACAAAACTATTCTCGCCGGCCTCAAAAAATGCCTCGACGACAAAAAGGGAGCTTGGGCAGACGAGCTAGACGGAGTACTTTGGGCGTACCGAACTACACCCCGCAGTGCCACCACGCAAACACCATTCGCGCTAGCCTACGGCATGGAAGCAATGGCCCCAGCCGAGGTCGGATACTCAAGTCTTCGACGTTCTATGATGGCAGTCCGTCCCGACCTCAACGACCAGATGATGCTTGACAGACTCGACGAACTTGAAGAAATGCGCAACACCGCACTATGCCGAGTTCAGAACTACCAGCTTGCTGCCGCCCGATACTACAACAAAAAAGTACACAACCGCCACTTCGACGTCGGCGACCTCGTACTCAGGAAAGTCTTCGATAATACAGCTGAACTCGGCGCCGGCAAACTAGGAGCAAACTGGGAAGGGCCGTACCAAGTCTCGAAGATAGTTCGCCCCGGCGACTACGAACTCCTCACCATGAGCGGCACCGAAGTCCCACGAACTTGGAACTCCATGCACCTCAAGTGGTCAAGTTGCCACTCCATGTAGGTTTAAGGATTTATTCTTGTAGACATACATGGCTAGCTAGTTGCAGATCTAACAAAGTATTACGAAATTATGTAGACAAAATTATATATTGAAGAAACAATATTGATTTGAGGGTAACTACAATTGTTAAACAGAAAAGAAAAGAGTAGTCTTTTATTCTATTTTGATTAAACAGAATAACATGTTATAGTAGTAAACATAACAAAATTACTAATTTATGTTTTATACACTGTATGGCGATTTGTCACCGAGCTTACATATCCATTTTTCGAATATTTTGTGTTTGTCGTAAAATTTTCAACTATGGTATAATAATTGTTGATGCACGAATCACACAAGTACGAAATAGGGTTTCTCTGGGGAAGTAAAAAGAATCTCCCAAAACAATTCGAGCCGAGAGTTCAAATGGCGTTAGGCGAGCCGAGATTGATGACTTCGGATTAAGGATTCCAGGTCGTCGATGAAGCCGAACTGAATGAAGATTGAGGTCGCTTCTCCGAGCTGAATGAAGATTGAGGTCGCTTTCCTTTTCTAGATTGAGATCGGTCTTCGTGTCCTAGCCGAGTTCTTCGTATCCTTGCCGAGCTCTTCGTGTCCCAGCCGAGCTCTTCGTGTCCTTGCCGTGTCAGCGTGTTTTTCGATGATTTGACAGGACTAGTCGTCCTGCTTTTATACCCCCGCGGAGTAGGGCGTACTCTGACAGGTTTTTCCGGTTCTACCCTTGCGTCTCGTGACGTGGCAGATCTGTAAGGCGGCGAGGTCGTTCGGATCCCGATGTCTTCGGGCTTTAAGGCCTCCTTCGTGATGGGCTTCTCTTGGATTGGGCCTTATATCCTTAAAGCCCAATAACTCCCTCAACAGTTGCCCCCCAATCATGATTCATCGTGTGCTGCGAGGATCATGATTGTTTTTCCCTTCCCAAGACACGCAAGATATCGCCTTTCTTCGCGTCGTTTCGGATCAACGAGTTTCGTCGACGCGCGCGCGTGGGAGAGACGCGAGAATCGATTCGTCGGACATTGTTCCCGGTGTTTGGAGACCGTCCCTTCGCGTGTGAAGCTGTCTTAGCTCGTAATTATTGCGTAATTTCATAGATATAATGATTACTTATCACCTTTCGCTTCTATAAATACTCCCTCTTCTCTCGTCCGTTTCTCATTCTTCTTCCTCCGCTAAAGGTATAACCTTCTCCTCTCTATTTCGTTCTCTCGCTTTATCTCGTTTTTTTTTTTGTTTTATTGCGATGTCTTCCGACGCTAGTTCTCGCGGTTCCGTCTCCGACCACTTCCGTTCTCGCACCTCGTCTAATTCTACGGGTCGTATATCATCCGTTGATCGATTCCGAGCCAATTCTTTTGACGACGACCTGGAGTCCAACTCGTCCCCTCGTCGACAGAACTCGTCGAGGTCGTCTGACGCCGGTTCCTCGATTCTCGCGGCCGAACTGCAACGTCGCGATTCGCCCTCTCAACGGGATCTTGTCGGGGCTACCTCGATCGTTCCATTCGTTCATAGTCTCCGAGATGAGGATATTGGTGATGTCAAGTTTGACGATCTAGAGGCTGAGCCTGAGCTCGTTGAGATGCCTTTCGGGGTTCCCGGACCATCTCCCTATCACGTTGACTTCCTGGGGCCGACCCGGACGTCATTTGAGACCCTCGCGTATACCCTCCATTACTGTGATGCTCCGTCCTCGATTGAAACTCGCATTCCGGCTTTATTCGAGCGACCTTGGTCCGCTCCGGTCGGCTTCTTCTGTGTTTATGAGAGTTTCTTTACGGAATGCGATCTCACTTTTCCGATTCCGGGCTTCCTGCTTGAATATGTAGCGAGGCGGGAGATGGCTCTTTCTCAGCTTTCTGTTGCTGCCATCCGGAATGCGGTAGGCCTGGTTTGGCTGGCGAGTAGGTGCGGCGTGGTTGTCCGTTCTTCTCATTACGAGGAGGTGACTAAGATTAAGAGCCTCAGCAAGAAAAAGCCGGGCTTACACTACGTTCAGTCATCCACGACTCCTAAGCTTGTCGATGAGGCCAAGAGCAAAACTAGTGACTGGTCGGCGGGATACTTCTTTGTTAGGATTTCGGCAGAATCTGTTGAGGACGTTAGAATTCCGATCTATACAGGGTGGAAAATTTCACCCGGTAGCTTGAGCTCGTCTTCCGCCCTCACACTTCTTCTTTGGTTGTTTTCGATTCTTATATCTTCTTTTTTTTATGCAGCTCGTTTCCCGACGATATTTGATCCATTTCCCGAGCAGCTAAAGAAGGATCTCGAAAAGATTCGCGCCGAGGGTACGTATATCTGGCCGTCTACTAACAAGGTTGCTCGCCGCCCCTCTCGGAATCCTTCGCGCGGTCGCCGAGGTTCTTCTCGTCGAGGGCCAATTCGTCAAAGTTCCAAAGTTTCCGCTCCATCAAAACCAGGTATCACATATATCGTTCGCCTCTGCGGGTTTTCGTTCCCTTGGCTCATATATATATTTTTTTTTCTTTTTTGATTTTAGGTCGTAAAGCAATGGGTAAGTTCGACCTGAGTGTGGTTCCGGATTACGCCAGTCGTTACAAGGAAAAGAGGCCGGCCACGGAGACTCCTGTGGCAAAGCCGACTCGCTCAGAGGAGCGTCAAATGAGGGAGGCCCTGAAGAAGAGTCTCCTAGATCAAGGAGGGCGTCACGCCTTCCAGGCCGGAAGTTCTCGACCGTTGAGCCCTAACTCCGAGAGGGTAAAGAAGAACGAGATGCTCGCAGCTCGTTCAACTCAGCAGGCTGGTGGAGGTGATCGAGCTGTAATCCTTCCCCCAAGTGACGATCTTCGGGCCGTAGAAGCCCGGAGTGGCTCAGTCGAGCCTCTGAACAAGAAGAGGCCGGCTGATACGGGAGCTCGTCCGATTGCCCAGAAGAGGCCTCGGGTCGCCGACCACCGGTGGTCGTATCGCTATGTTGATAGGGATGTTCCCTTTACATCTAATGCGGACGCCTGTGCTGCTCTATTCCGCGAGATGGGTCATGGCCCCGGCTCGTTCCCTCTAATTGAGGATCTTCGGGAGCGGGATGCGTATACCGAGGTGGCCAGGAAATCATCGAGGTTATTACTATATATATGTGCATATATATTTTTGTTACCCTTCCTCGGTCAATTGTTTATATATATTTTTATCAGGCGACCTTCGCGATGAACCGCATGGTTCATCTCTACGAGCGCCGAGTTCGTCGGCTTTCGAACGAGAACCCGAATTCGAGTGATTATCAGGCTGCCATTGCTGCGGAGAAGGAGCGGGTAGATCAAGTCTCGCGAGAGTTGGGTGCTGTTAAGGACGAGGCGGTGAAGCTTAGGGAGAAGGTCAACCTTCTCGATCATCACCGGAATGGGCTGATTGCGGAGAGGGACCGTTTGAGCGCCGAAGTGGAGGCAGAGAAGGCTCGGTATGACGAGCTCGCTGTGATCCTCCATTCCGAAAAGGCTAGACTGCGAGAACGTCGTGCTGAGTACGGCGAGTACTGTAGAGGTAAAGCTCTTGCGAAGATGGCCCGGCTGTTTCAGGCTCGTCTCACCCGTCTACAGGCTCATGTTGAGGATACCCGTGCCGCGCAGCCCACTCTTCTGCTTTACAACCAGGCAGTCGGGAACCTTGGTTTTCTGAAGGCTCTAGTGGAAGACGGCGAGGTCGTCATTAAGTCGGAGGAAACGCTTTCCAGGGTTGAGGCTGACGTGGCGCAGTACAGAGCTGATCTTGCGGCCTTCGACGTGACTGAACTTCAGGATGGCGATTTTGACGCCTATACCCTCTTCGCGGACCGGAACGAGGTTACTGAGAACCTTCAGTATGCCGCTTTGGCTGCCAGTGGAAGGGACTTCGTCGGAGATGACGAGGTCGAAGAAGATGCCGTTAATCAGGACACTCAGCAGGAGGTCGCAGTTGAAGCTCGTGAGACCGGGGCCGAACTTCAGGATGGTGGTGGTTTTGGGACCGAGGCCACAGGCGCTGAGCAGACTGGCGACGGCCAGGAGGTTCCGCGGGTGGCTACTCCGTTAGCTCAGGTTGTCCAAGACGGGGAGGACATTGATATCGAAGGCTGACTGCGAGGTCATTTTTAAAGTTGTCGTTTTGCCTCTTTTGACGGCTTTTTTTTATCTAGTCGCCGCTTTGTCGGCTTTTGAACACGTGCCGTTAACTCGGTTTTTAGCTTTACTTTTGCTGGGTCGGTTTGTTTGAACATGATTGCCGCTAGGTCGGCTTATTTTATGTGGTTTTCGCCATTTATTTCTTCTTTCCCTTCTTTTATTTTAGCCTGTTCTTCAGGGGTCGGCTCCTGTGTAGGACGGGACGCGGCCGGTTTCTGTGTAAACCTGGTCGTGATCGGCTTGGTGCGAGTTCACCAAGCTGATGCGAGGCCTAGGTTACTTTGATTGTTGGTAGGCTTGATCGGTTGGGAATTTGTGAGTCTGTCCTCGGCCTATACGTTTATTCTGTCGGTAAGATGCAAGTGCTGGACTTGGCTTGTGCGAAGTTTTACCTACTTCGGCTTTTCCGAGTTTGCTCGGAGTGTTCGAGACGGGCTCGAGACATCGTGAGGTGCGACGCGCGGTGATCGGCTTACCCTGTATTGGCCTGATAAATCTTTGGGAGTGCGGGTTCGTCCCCGGCTTATGCTACCCAGTTTATCGAGGCTTTGCGAGTACGGAGCTCGGCTTTCAGACCCTTAAGTGTAGGTTTTTTCCAAGACTTTTTTACTTGTTTTGGCAGACTTAAGTAAGGGTGTGCGTTCTCGTTCGAACGTGTTCGATCGAATTGCCTGGCCAGGGTATCGATGTATATTTCGGTTCGGTTGTATTTCAAAATTAGATGGAAATACAAAATTTTATTAATATCATAGCTGCGCCCTGCAAGCAGGGCTGCCTACGTACCCTCTGATCGGAGGGATCAAGCCGTTCGTAGTTCACATTACATAGAGAGGCATCGGTAAGGCCGAGCTACCGATGCATGGAGTAGCTTTGTCCCAATTTAATTTACAAAAACAAAAATTCTATTACCCCAAGAGCTAAATACTAAATTGAAAAAAGAATAAAAATGCATGACGTAGATCCTAAAATGTATTACTAAGATTTTTTACGCATTGTTTTATATGAAGCTTTTTGGCCATAATTATTGTTATTATTATTTTGAAATGCCCATTATTTAAATATCAACAATCGAATTCTTTTGGGATATTATTATGTGTTGTGTGTGAGCAGCATCTTATCGAACTTTGACTTGTTTTTAATGGTGGCAATCAAAAAGGTCAACAGTTTTGAGCGTAGCTCGATGGTAAGTGAGAGTAAGTCAATATTCAAAGTGACTTTACTGACCAACTTTTGATGGTCGTACGCAATTCACAATCTTTCCAAAAATCACCAATCAGTTTAAATAATGTTGCGTTTTTTTCTCAATAAAAAGTTCTATTATTGGAAACTGCATTCACACAGCTATGGAGAAAAATGTCATTTAATAGTCCAATTTTCAAATTGTGGCCGTTCTAAACACTAACTTCATATATGGGGAAAATGTCATTTAAATCGTCACTTTGCCATTTGTGGAGGTTTAAAGCATGAACTTTGAGTCTGGTGCTTTTAATCCTCAATTTCTAGTTGACTTTCAATTTAATCTCTAACTTTCGTTGACGAAGCCGATTGAGGCACGTCTTTAACTTGACAAACGGAGGATTAAGACGCTGTTATATGTCCGTCTAATATATCCGTTAATAAGCGAAATGACGTCGTTTAATCAAATGAAAACTCCCAAATTCGATTAAGCTCGAATCCTAGAATACCAAACCGAAATTAGAAATACAAAATCGAAGATTCTCTCTCGCTTTCTTTTCTAATCTCGATTTCTTCTCAAATCTCGATCTCATCTTTATTCCTCAAGATCTGTTGTCTCGATTCCGATGAGTTCTAGCTCCGAGACATCGATAGTACTCGCTGCCCGTGGAGTGCCTTCAAAGTGTGTGTGTGGGTTAGGTGTAAGGATCTTTACATCGAAAACTCAACACAGCTATCTTGAAGTCTTGATTAGAGAAGAAAACGAGAGAGAATCTTCGATTTTGTATTTCTAATTTCGATTTGGTATTCTAGGGTTCGAGCTTAATCGAATTTGGGGGTTTTCATTTGATTAAACGACATCGTTTAGCTTATTAACGGATATATTAGACGGACAGATAACAGCGTCTTAATCCTCCGTTTGTCCAGTTAAAGACGTGTCTCAATCGGCATCGTCAACGAAAGTTAGAGATTAAATTGAAAGTCAACTAGAAATTGAGGATTAAAAGCACCAGGCTCAAAGTTCATGTTTTAAACCTCCACAAATGGCAAAGTGACGATTTAAATGACATTTTTCCCCTTCATATATGGCCATTTTAAACATGAAAATATCGTTGACCAACCGTTTGAACCATAAATATTCGTTGACCAGGCCAAAAAGATAAACCGTTATCGATCGTTAACAGATTATCTAACATCCGTTAACACCTCCGTTAGTGATATGTCTATATTTTACTTGTTTTGAGCATCCATTTAGCATCACTTTATCATCATTTCGTCATTGTTTCATACCATTCTTCATCATTTGTCATCACTTTGCATGATTAGGGTAGTTTTGCATGCATGTTGCATATTTGAGTTGTTTCAGGTGCTTCGGGGCTATTGGTGTTCAGAAAGAGGAAAAACATAGCTGAAAGTCACATTTGGACCATTCTGCTCGATCACCAGTAGCAGAGAGGGAAGCAGTCAGCTCAGCAGACCATCAGGAGTGTTCTGCTCGATCATAGGGCAGTCCATCCTGCCAGTTCACAGTTCTGCTCGACCACAGGGCAGTCCATCCTGCCAATTCACAGTTCTGCTCAATCACAGGGCAGTCCATCCTGCCAGTTCACAGTTCTACTCGATCACAGAGGAAGAGGAGCAGTCCATCCTGACAGTCTACCCACATACTCGATCGCAGGGTTGAAGAAGCAGTCCAGAGCGTGCCACCAACCAATCTACTCGATCACCACCTCCCCGCAGCCGCTTGATCACAAGCTTCACAGTCTTCTCAGATCCCAACTCAACCAGACATTGAGCATAAGGAAGAGAAGAGGATGAAGCAGAACTCGAGCACATACTCGACCCAAATGCTCGATCACGACATGCCCAGAGCAAGAAATCGCAAAGGCGCCAACTTTATTCAACCTCTCTACTCGATCACAAGGGTCGAGTATCTCCGTAAACCGCCTTAATACTTTGTCGTCTTGTGATTTAGGGTTTCCTAGTATTTGCTATAAAGAGGTTGTTTCTCATAATTTTCAGAGGAAGTTTTTATTCTGTCTAAGTTTTTTTCTGCAGAACAATTAGTGCTTTCTTCATATTTGTAATCCAGATTTCTCTTAATCTATTGAGTATTTGCTTTTGATTTCTTCTACAAAGTTGTTCATCTTGTTGAGATCTTGCTAGTATGAAGTTTTTATGCATTTCTGGGTTTATGTTCATGTTCATGAGTTTTGAGTAGTGATTAGGGTTCTTGAGGATGGGTTAGAGTAGTTTAGAATCCTTGATCTGCTAGGTGGTTGAGTTTGATTGGTAGATCCCTTCTGGATTAGTTGTTCTTAATGCTGATTGCTTTCTGATCAACTGGAATCTGAGCCCAGACATTTCCGCACCCAAAAGGTGTTCGATGAAATGTCTGAACCACTAATTCCAGAGATTCGTGGCTCTGTACCAAGGTATTGGTTACAGGGAGCGTTTTGGCTTAGACTTGTTGTTTCGTAATGCCTGTTAGGTTAGCTCTCGTCAATGGTGATTGAGTCTGGGACTAGCTTTGCTTGAGGATCTCTGTTGCGGTAGCACTTTGATTTGGTTATTGAACTTGTTGTCTAGGGATAGTTTGTTGAGCATGTTAACCACCTGTTAGATTAAGGAGACTTCACTACTCGATTACCCCATCCTCGGGAATTTCTCTTCCAATTGATTTCTTTGTTCACATCGCTTTTGATTGCCTGATCTCGTTACTTGTTGCTTAGTTTTCGCATTTTTACTTGTTTCATTTGAAGTACTCGACCACACCCAGTAGTTTGGTGACAAACTGTGCAGTCGAGTACCCTGTTTACAGTTTCTGTTAAGTTACTCGACCTGATACTCGACCACACCCAGTGCTTGACATCAAGCTATGTGATCGAGTATATTGCCTGTTATTGTTAGAATTTCTGTTTTCTGCATGATCACTAGAACTGTTAACAACATCAAACCTGTATTTGCTTGGCTTGACTCTGTGATATCTGATTGCATCTTGATTGCTAGCATCACACCCATTTGGATTGACACCTTAAATACTACAATGACATGATAGTACTTTAAGGATAATTGATCTTAGCTAAAATTCTACTATCAGTTAGCCACCCCAAAACGACGTCGTTTTTGTCTTTTAAAAATAAATTAGTAACCCTAGGATTCGAACCCATAACCTCTATAGAAAACCAAAAGGTACTTAACCAATTTACCTATATCGTTTTATTGGCAATTCTATGGAAACATATATACTTATATATTCTTAGAGCTCTTCTTCTTCATCGTTAACCTACGAAACAAAACATCTCCATAGCCGCCTCCGAATTTGTGTTCTCTCTCGTATGATTCTCTTTAATCTTAACCATATCGTTTTTTCGTTGATTGAAAAGATCTTGAATTTGCTAAATTCAATTCATCGGAACTTGTTTCTATGGACACCATTGATGGATTCGTCGATTCATATGAAATCAGCAACACAAATTGCACTAGTTCTTCGTCGTCTCACAGGCACCTTTGTTGTCGCACCTTATGTATCTGCTCTGCAATTGCTCTCACCGGATCTGATGTATCTAACGGCATTCGGATATATAATTATGTGTTTGTGAATAATAGTCATTTACACACTCTAGCTTAGTTGGTTCAGTAAGTTCAGGGAACACTCGCAGGTGATGGGTTCGAATCCCTGGGAATAAATTCGAAGAAAGCTTAAACGACGTTGTTTTGGGGTGGCTAACGGAGGTGTTAACGAATGTTAGATAATCTGTTAACAATCGATAACGGTT